AATTATTCACTACGGACATAATTCATTTAGTCAATAAATTTCAAGCCTTATGTATTGAATTAAACACGGATTTAGAAGGTGCATAGACTATTTTTCCCGAAACACCTTTTAAATCTTATTCAAACACGCATACCAAATATGCCACAGGTGCAGTGGTGGTTGAATCTACGAGGACAAAAAATTGTTGTATCTTAAACCTATAAATTCCTAAACCCCACCTACACATTATTGTGGTTGAGTGGAACCTTGACCTTTAAGTTTTGTTTGATATTGATGAAAAAATAAAAAAAAATTATATTAGGATTATGGTTGATTCAAGTAAAGACATGTGGAAGAATATGTGACATAGAACTTTGATATTTCTTATCCTTTTTACTCTCATTTGTTCTCTAAAATTCGTAGTGACGGAATTTTGTGTAAGAAATTATTGTTTAATTATTTATTAATATGATGTCGAGCAGGCATATGAGTAAAAATGAATATAGGATAAATTGTATCAATGGCCCATAAAGTTTAACGTCTATCAGACTTTGGTCTGATATCAATCCAAAAAAGTGATGAAAAATATCATGCGCTTTGGCACATGAGAGTATTAACATACATTTTTGTTATTGCACTTTCAAAACATTGGGCATAAAAGATAAAAGAAAAATAATCTCACAAAAAGAAAAAAATATAGTATTACCCTCCCCATTATCGACATCCCTAATACCCTTACCTAAAATAGCCTCTGATAACATTGTCGGTAGCAATACCAATGACCACCCAATTTCTCTTTCTCTCTATTTGCAAGACTCCATCGCTGGTATCTATTTTCAACCGCTAGGTACCATCACCACCATTCACCTTCTAAATTACTCAATCTCCCGTTCTTTCTCTTTCTCTCTCTCTCTCTTTCTTTCTTTGGTTCTCTTATATTATCAGCGCTTCACACACAAAACACAGTACAAAACCTAACCTAAACCACTATTGCAAATCTCATACGCTTGACACCATCTCCACCAACCCAACCCATAACATAGCCATATCTCCTCCTTCTCCATCGTGACCTATAACCCCACACTTGTTCCCTACCACTATAATTTCAGACCGATGCTATGAATTGGAGCTTGATTGCCTATGGAATTTGCAAAAATTAGGTATTTTGTGACTGTGTTGTGTTTTTGTATTTGTTTGTGAGACAGAGATTGTGTATTTAAGAGGGAGAGAGATCGACTCAAATTGCCTAGAGTGGAGAAAGATCCATAGTTAATCAGAGAAAAAATGGCCTTGTGATTGAGAGAAAATAAAGAGAAAGAAGATGTATGTTTAGTACATGTTTAATATAATTCAGATGACGGATAATATTATTAGGATGCACAAATTGTTAAGAAAATATTAAAAATGCTTGTCAGTATTCTCATGTGTCAAACACGTGATATTTTTCGTCATTTTTATGGACGATATTTGATGTCAAGGACCATATTAACTGAATGTGTGAACACAAATAACTAAATTAATAAAATTAAAATTTTGAGGAATAAAATAAGGTAAATTTTAAATTTTAAGGTTCTATTAGTACAATTTATCCGGAAGAGACGAAATGAGAAGATGGTCGGTTGGCCGGGTGGTTGTTATTGAAAGGACCAGATGACATGATGGAAAAAACCATAGACGTAAAGTTTGATCGATAACAAAGAGACTGACATAAAGAAGTGTAATGCTGTGATCATTCCCTTGTTCACATTACTCAACTTTACAATAAATTTATGAGGAAGGCAACGGTATTTAACTCGCGATTTTTTCACCGTATTTAATTTTTAAATCTCCTATTTTGAAGTGAAACTCGGTCGATCTAAATTAACTCGCGATTGTTATATGATTATTTGACCACAAGGCAAATAGAAGTTCAATATTGAGACTTAGTTATTATTTAATTACATGATATCCGATACTTTACTAAATAAAACATTCTATTAAAAAAAATCATTTTTTTCACTCAATTTGAAAAAAATTTGGATAATTAGGCCTGAGACATAATAATAAAATTGAAAATTCAAGTTTTACTTATTATATTAATGTCACATCATTTGTTGGCTTATTCTTTTGACAATACAGTATTATTCATTTTTTTGCGTATGAGGACCGAAGTCCTACCCAATGATTAAAGTCCTCCCTATTAGAGCGGCATGTTGAAAAAAGGGTGGAACCTCTAACCGCATCCGTTACTCTTTTTTGAAATGAATCTATTTAGGCTAATACAACGGTCAATCACTGAGCTCAATGTAGACTTCAAGACTCAAATCTTCAACCTCAGAGTGAGAAGTTTGACCGATAACTTACTAAACGACCCTGCTCGGTGACATGTTGAAGGTTTGATTCTCCTCCTCTGCTCCCTTCTCCCCTTTGCTTGTAGTGTAAAAAATTATTTTCTATCAAAAAATTGTGTGTATAATTCTCATTCCTAAATATGACAATTATACTGCCTAGGAGATGTTACTGCTTCTAGTTGGTCTCCTACTTAGTACCATCATTCTTCTTTTTAATTTTTTTAATTTTTATACGTTATCTTTTCCCTTAAATTTTGGCAAAACAATATAAAAATCTCCTAATTGGATTTTATGCTCTTATCTAAACTCTTATGTTACAAAGTTCCATTGATTGACATTCTTTAACAACAACTTAGTTTGAAAAAGTTGAATCTGGTGTTCAAAATTGTAAAATTACTTATTAAAATTTTTGAATTTGAAACATGTAACAATCAAGTATGAAACAGTTACACAATAATAAACGAAAAAGTTACATCAGGCTTACGAAACAGAGACACAAAAGGGTTACAACAGTGTAACAGAACAGTAACAACAAACAGTTACACGTAACTATTTAAAATAATTCAACATAAATACTAACTTGTTTGCAGAATAGAATAATAAGTAGATAAAAACTAGTGTTTGATATTATGTCCTTAATACAGATTTCGCCCCCACACACGATACTTATAGAATGTCGAGGGTCTGTCTCGCAGGATACAATGATATTTTCACGAGCAAAAGTAGTATTGCAATCTACTCGTTCAGTGAACCAAATTTATGTTGTGTACTCTTCAAATGCACTGCCTTAATGTAATGCACAAATAACTGCCCTAATGCCGAACATGAACTGATAAATTGAATGAATAAAATGAATGATTGAACTGAGTATTTATTGATAGTCTAGTGACTGTTTGGACAGCTGCCACACTAAATGACACAACCCAGAAACAAAAAATCGACCAGCTAGTGGACACTTTGAATAACTGTTATTCATGAACAATAACAAATTCAATTTTGGACTAGATTATTTGACCTAGTGCGTACCGAAAATCAATTTCGATTCAGAAATTCTCGTGCCATTAATTAAATGAATTTTATTCAAAAAAATAGAGTTTGGTCTAACCCACACTTGAGCCCGAGTCATGGCGAGGAGAGGCGAGCGACACGCGCATGGTCAAATTGAAGGTACATAGACGTTCATTCCGTTCGTAAAACTATGGTACCCTTGAGGCCCAATCCCATAGAGTAAATTTGCCCTATATATATGTCTATATAGAATTTCTTAATCAATCAATGTAAGATTGGTGTCAAATCCCACATTTTTTTTAAATATGTTTTTTGGGGAGGGGGGAAGGGAACTTGAATCCATAACTTCAAGAAGGCAAAGTCTTCACAAAGTAAAAAGTATCATTGGACAACCTTTATTTCACAATTCAAGAGAGTCATTTTGGAGCCTATTTTCTCATTCATTTTTTATTCGATTTGAACAAATGAATATACCACGTTATTCTTCTCACGGAATAAAATATGAATTTACGAAAATTTATTCAAAATAACAAACGAGTCTCATTTGAATTTAGGTTTAAAATCAACTAAAAATTCAATTTTTATATTTAAAAAACTGTTTTTGTCCAACAGAAACATGACAACCCTAAGAGTTAAAAAATATTACAACTTAAGGATAGTTCAAGTGATAATAAAAGTTAATTATAAATTTAGACGTCTTAAATTTAAATATTGATAACTCTTTGGAGTCGGGACATAAAAAATTTATCCCTAGTGAATACCCTAGCCTCAACATGAATAATTTATTTTTGATCAAACTAAAAAAGAGATTAGACGAAGTGCACATAAACTCACCCAAACACCTCTGAGTTGAACTAAAAAATAATATAAAATAAAATACACATTGCTTTAATTTGCTCAAAATTAAAGAACTACATCGAGTTATACCAGTCGCTGCTTATTAAAAAAGGCATATTATTCACTTATATCAATTTGGACGGTGGAAAAAATAGAATATTTAGAACTTTTTTTTCGTATATAATCTTTTTTCAAAGTTAAGTTGTAACTAAATAAAAGGGTCAACAAGCAAAGTGATAATCCTACAAGTTAAGTGGTTAATGTAGTGATAATTAACCCATGAATCCCTTTTGGTATAAATGTGTAATTGTTGTGAAATATGGATAATATAATTGAAATTTTATTTTTAACTTCTCAAAAGACAGAAAGGGTGTCAAAATCTAACCCGCCCACTAACACTTGAATAAAATGTAAATACGGTTTACAATTTGAGGATTTGAGTCTTTATGTTTTCATTTAATACACGAGTGAACTTGATAAAGACAAAATTAATAAAAAAAAAATTAGGAGCAAAATTAATAAAAAAATATACGACATAATTATATATTGATTAAATATGATTTATATAAAATAATTAAAAAAAGATATAAATTAATAAATAAAATATTTTTCAACATCAATTTTTTTAAAACTCGGCATGAACCGGTCTAATTCTAACACCATTTACAGGCCTGACGGAAGAAAACAAAAATGTCGAAGCTGTTGCTGAGGTGGCGATACAGGAGCAAACTACGTGATGAGATGTTCGACAGAAAAGGCGAGTGAGGTTTTTTATGATACCCAGCGCGTACAATTTTACCACTCAATCAAAATATTAACTATCGTCATTGGCCTCATTCCTCCCTCATGGTCTTGCCGTGTCGACGTCTCAAACGTCTCTCTCTCTCTCTCTCTCTCGCCCTTTGCCCACCAACGAAGCAAATATTGATTCTTTCTCTCTATGTGTTGTGTCAGTGTGTGAAAATTCACAGTCGAAACATGAATTAGAAAGGTGATTAGAATGAGTAACTGATTTCTGCAGGTATGCATTTCATGCGTTTTCTTCAGTCTTACGACTTCTTTTATGAGTTTCAACCATTTTGAATCACCATTTATGAAGAACTAGAACACATCTTTTTTTCTAGATATTGAATGAAATTGGGGATTTATTCGAGTTTTGTCACCTGGTAGCATGATTTGCTAATGGTTTGTTGCACCATTTGTTTATATATCTCTGTCTGAATACGCGTCATTGAATCTGGTTATAGTTTTTTAATGCTTGTTTTCAATATTCTGGTTGAGTTGGTAGCAATTTGGTGAAATTTTGGGACGAAATTAGCGGGCAATTGATTTTCTTCCCCTCGCGCGTGATTTGAGTAACCGCGGGGCTAAGGAAGATGTCTAGTTTTGTGGGTGTGGAGATTTATTCGAGTTTTGTCACCTGGTAGCATTATTTGCTAATGGTTTGTTGCACCATTTGTTTATATATCTCTGTTTGAATACGCGTCATTGAATCTGGTTATGGTTTTTGAATGCTTGTTTTGAAGATTCTGGTTGAGTTGGTAGCAATTTGGGGACGAAATTTGGCAGGCAAGTGATTTTCTTCTCCTCGCGCGTGATTTGAATAACCGCGGGGCTAAGGAAGATGTCTAGTTTTGTGGGTGTTCTTGTTTCTGATCAGTGGCTTCAAAGCCAGTTCACGCAGGTTGAACTCCGGAGCCTCAAATCCAAAGTAACTATTTCTCATTCCTTCTCCTTGACATGTCATTGCTTCTGCGATATTTGCTTCTTTTGGAATTTGGTCATGACATTGATTTGAATGAGTTATTGATGGGTCTTGTGGTAGTTTATTAATGAGTGAAATGTGTGCTTGTTTTGTTTGGTTTTTTTGTAGTTTAATTCATTGAGGAATCAGAATGGTAAAGTTACTGTTGGTGATTTGCCACCTTTAATGGCGAAACTAAAGGCTTTCAGTGAGATGTTCAACGAGGACGAGATTAGAAGGATATTGGACGAGTCAGATTCTGATAAGAGTACTGAGATTGATTTTGAAGGCTTCCTCAGGGTCAGTCTTTGTCTACTTCCTTTCTCAGTATCAGTCTTATTAAATTCAATAGTAGTGAAATATAGTTGTATGAAATGAACAACTAAAATATGAGTTGATAGGCTGTAATTTTACTTTTGTGGAATTAGAGGGGTACAGTTTTTATCAGCATATTAAAAAAACGTATGCTGCCAATTTACTTGCATTCGATTTGAACAATGCTTAGTTATATCTTAATTAGTGCATTGAATGGGCAGACATATCTGAATTTGCAAGCTCGAGATACGACCAAATTGGGTAGTTCAAAAAACTCCTCGTCGTTCCTCAAGGCCACCACAACCACCCTTCTTCACACTATAATTGAATCAGAGAAAGAATCTTATGTTGCTCACATCAACAGCTATCTTAGGGATGATCCATTTTTGAAGCAGTTTCTCCCTATGGATCCAGCTACAAATGCTCTATTTGATATTGCAAAAGATGGAGTTCTTCTCTGGTATTTAAGCGGGGTCTCTTTTAAAATACTCTTACAACAATAGAAGCTAATAGGTTGTGTTTGTTTTGATTTGTTTCATGGCTTGATGCAGTAAGCTTATCAATGTTGCTGTGCCGGGTACAATAGATGAAAGAGCTATCAACACGAAACGAGTACTCAACCCATGGGAAAGAAATGAGAATCATACACTTTGCCTCAACTCTGCTAAGGCTATAGGTTGCACTGTAGTTAATATTGGCACCCAAGACCTGGTTGAAGGAAGAGTGAGTTGAGTTATTTCAGATATATCCATAACATATATCCATACAGGTGATATTGGGAGATTCTTGGAGTCCTAATTTTTTGTTTCTAATTATTCATTCTGCAGCCTCATCTGGTACTTGGGTTGATTTCTCAAATTATAAAGGTTGGTATTTAAACTTTATGTTTCCTATTAGTGAGTCTTTTTAGTCTTTATATTGAAAACAACACACCGATATGATGGTAGGGGTTCATATGTTAATCATAGAGGCGTTGCACTCCTAGTTTGTAGATTGATTCTCATTCTGTTACAGTAACTTATTGTGAATTGTACTTTCAGATCCAACTATTGGCAGATCTCAACCTTAGGAAGACACCTCAGCTTGTGGAATTGGTGGAGGAGAGCAATGTAATTGAATAGTTGTTCTTGACTTCTCATATATCTCAAACAATTTAGAGTGCTAATATTTTTTCAACTTTAGTGTGTATTTTCTGGACCAACCATACTGCGAGTATCACTATGCATCTATAATATTGCAGGATGTTGAGGAGCTTATTGGATTAGCCCCTGAAAAGGTCTTATTAAAATGGATGAATTTCCATCTCAAGAAAGCAGGCTACAAGAAACCTGTGACAAATTTCTCCTCTGACTTGAAGGTATCCAACAATTCCATTGGCTATTCATTAACAATGGAACTCAAAAGATTTAAAGCTCAAGGAGTAGCATATTTACTTTACATTAAGTGACCACGTGCCTCATCTGTTTGTTTTTGTTGGTGTTGGGGAGGGGGTTGTCAGGCTACATATTGTGGTCATATGATCCCAAATCCTCCCTCATAGCATCAATAGAAGGAATCATTGGCATAGGTAAAATATTATGGTTTCTTTATTTAGAACAAGTCATATGATTTAGGGTCAGATGTTATTCCAGAGAAAACGTTCTTTGCTCTAAAATATTACTTTTGCTTCCTTACCAATCATGTGTCCTTATTTTCACTACCAACTACTTACCCTATAATTCTTTAAGAATTAAGATCAATGAATCAACACAGCTAACCAGTTAGTAACTGTGCATGAACCTTCTGAGTGCCATCTTCTCGACATATTTAATCCACTTCACAGCTGGAATAGTTTATCGCAATGTTTATTGTCTATAAAATTTCTTATGCTCTCTTCTTCACTGCAGGATGGAGAAGCCTACGCTTACTTGCTAAACGTCCTTGCACCAGAGCACTGTAGTCCAGCGACGTTAGATGCTAAGGATCCTGCTGAGAGAGCTAATTTGGTACTTGAGCATGCAGAAAGAATGGACTGCAAAAGATACTTAACCCCAAAAGATATTGTTGAAGGTTCACCCAACTTGAATCTTGCATTTGTTGCACAAATATTTCATCAAAGGTTGGAAATAAACCTTCTTATTTATTCTCGTTTGATTTAAAATTTGTGTGGCAATTTCCGTATGGTTTTTTTTTCTTTTTTCCTTCATTTAGTGAAATACTTACAGACTATGGCATGTGGCAATGTCATTTTTAACTTTCGTATGGATTAAGAATGAATAATTTACAAAAGTTGGGTTTTTGCTTTATTATTTTTCTACATGTGCTGTATCCTTTTAAAAAGCCTTCTGTTTGTCATTTGTGGCCCATAGTTTGGTGATAAGATGATATTTATAAATATACTGGCAAGTCTGGTATAAAAGCCATTTTGCATGTTCATTTGTATTTAGTCGGTATCTGTTTTAGGTAGCCTCATACTTGTGCGAATCCGTTTCTGTTTCAACTAACAACCCCTATATTAAATATTTGGCTGTATCAGTGTCAACCTATCAATTTGTTTTTGTGTTTTCGTGCTGCTTCTGGATTTATATATGGGATTTGAGTGTCTGAACACGTTTTCAAGAATTTAAGTACCTTTTGCAGGAATGGCTTGTCAACAGATAGCAAGAAGATATCCTTTGCAGAAATGATGACAGATGATGAGCAAATATCTAGAGAGGAGAGATGCTTTCGGCTATGGATCAACAGTCTTGGAATTGCTTCTTATGTTAATAACTTGTTTGAGGATGTTAGAAATGGGTGCGTGATTATGCAATTATACTCAGAGTTGAAAACAATACAAGAATTCCAGATTATTTGCAGAAGTGTATAGCGTTCTAGTTGATTTATTTTTAACTCACATGACCTTTCACAACTAAAAATTCATGTTCCAATCCTTGTTGGCTATTTCCTCTCACATGTGGTCAACAAGTCCTTCCTACTGTTACCATTTTTAACAGTATTTTTTTGATCAATTATCCAACTTTGAATTATCTTTGAGGGTTGTGTTGGAATAATTTTGTCACCTGTTTTTGTTTCTATTTTAGGATTGACTCCTCTAAGCTCTTTTAATGTGGACCTGTCATGCATGCAGATGGACACTTCTAGAGGTGCTAGACAAGGTTTCTCCGGGATCAGTTAACTGGAAGCACGCAACAAAACCTCCTATTAAAATGCCATTTAGAAAAGTAGAGAATTGCAACCAAGTTGTTAGGATCGGGAAGCAGTTAAAATTATCACTAGTGAATGTGGCTGGAAATGATATTGTGCAAGGGAATAAGAAGCTTTTACTAGGTAATGTAATTTATGCCTTTATCTCAAGCTATTTTTATTGCTAGAACCCTGCACCTGATGGTTAGCACAAATTTCTGGTGCGGTTTATTTTACTTATTGCTTTCTTGCATTGTTCTTCTGTCATTGCAAGTACGACTGTGTGATTATTGCTCTCTTATATCAGCCAGATTTGGTATGGTACACATTCATTGATATTCAATTTCAGCAAACTCCCATACAAAGTGCCTTTACCAACTCAGATGCATATTAGATAGATGCTTAGAAAGAATTACTTGTTGTAAGTGTCATCTTGATATTTTGCTATTCTGTGTAAAAAACATATCTCATGCAGTTGCACTTGCGCCATACGAATATATCAAGTAATCGTAGTAAATGGCTAAGAGCAAACCAGGAACCGTTAAATTTTAACCTAACTGCCAAAGTGGTACATCTAGGATTGTCAATGGTCATAATCCAATTGAGTTCGATGCGAATCTGATTTATTTATTCGGATCTGGTGTAAGATAGGATATGGATTGAGGTTTATCAATCTGTCAAATATCCAATCTTATTAGTTTCTTCTATAATATACTGTCCTGGATTTTTAAGCATCTCAGACATGGGTCTTAAGTATCTATGGTTATTGTTGTGGTTATGTATAGGAGACTAGGATTTTCAAAACAATGAAGCATATTCTTATGGAAATTGATAAATGGCTTGCTTCTTGGTCTGGATCTCTGACTGGCCAGTTAAGGTTGGGGTTTTAGAACATTGCAATCTTGGATTCCCACAGAAGCCTCAAACTTATTTGGAGCCCCAGGTTGTTGATGTATTTGCTTTTAGTTTTCTTTGATTTTGATCGAGTTGGTTTATATAAAGAGCTCATGATAGAGAATCAATGTAAATTCGCATGCCCAGTTCACTAGGTTTGACCATTTATGTGCTAGCTATAGGTCCTGTATATGCTTGTAAGTTGAATTTTCAGACCTTTTCTTTTTGAAGGAAGTTGAGTAATCAATGCATCTATAAAATCCTTCCCTTGCAATGGTTAACTTCTGGTGCGGTCACTCATTTGACTTCCTCTTCCCAGGTGGAGCATGTCTGTCACAGGCTGTACTTTAAGGTTCAATAGACAAAAATCTGTGCTTTTATATTTTCATGACAACGGTGCCTGGGGCTCTTGAACAATCCACATGAGCCATGCACCGTGCCAGTCTATACTAAAGTCCATCTGGGTAGCCCCAAGAAGAAGATGCAAAGTTAGGACTTCTACTTTTTTGAAGTTGGCACCTTTAAACCTGATTTTGGCATGCAGTCAACTATGTCGAAATTAGAACCGGGAATGTGTAAAATGATAGTTGTCACACCCTATGTACTTTCCCGTGCCCATCGCAAAGTGAGGACTAGTTTGCGTAGTGAAGTTTGATTTAGGGTTGGGAGAGGGGTGCCTTGCCATAACTTCCTTCCGCTACTGTTCCTAGATACGCCATCCTCGTTGGCAGCTGTTATGCTGCTAGAGAATTAAGAATTTATGATGTACAGAACCTACACATAGTTTTGGGATCCACTTCTTTCATATGAATTGGCTAGTACTATTCTTGTTCCTGCATAGACATTGATTCACAACAATCCATTAAGGTGGAAAATAAGACCATCGTTCAGGTCTTGAGATCCATTTAGTCGGGACATAATATCATCGTGCAGGCCCTGCAATCAAACAGAAATGAAATATACTCCTGCCTTTGACAGATTAAAAACCCATAAATTACCTGGTCAGCATAATTAACTTAGCTAAACAGGGCTAAGACATGTCTCTTAGCAGTCGCTTATAAGAAAAGAATTTTTACATTTAATTGTGAAAGTTGTCTGTCTTCACCCAAGTGAATTCCTTGCGGGAAATTTATTGTCGTTATACAAACTCCTGCTTTTGAATTGAGGATATCTTCTATTGTTTTCTGCTGATATATACTGAAAACATTGGTTGTCCGAAGAGCTCAAATTTGTTTACTTTTTTTCAGCTTTTTTGTGGCAGTTGATGAGGTTTAATATGCTTCAACTCTTGAAGAACTTGAGATCCCGCTTTCAAGGAAAAGAGATTACAGACACAAATATCTTAGATTGGGCAAACAAAAAAGTGAAGAGCACAGGCAGAAATTCTCAAATGGAGAGTTTTAAGGTTAAAAGTTGGCATTCTTCTCATTAATTATCATATTTTGTACTATGACTAACAGGTGGTGTTTTTGTTTTTTGGAATGCTTGTCCAGGATAAGAACCTTTCAAGTGGATTGTTCTTCCTTGAGCTTCTCAGTGCGGTGGAGCCAAGGGTTGTCAATTGGAATCTTGTCACAAAGGGAGAAAGTGGTATGATTCTTGCAACTGTAAGAATTTTTTGTGAAAGAAATAAGATTCAGTTTTGTTGTACAGGGAAATGGAGCACTTTCTGTTTTTGCTATCAGGCTTTGATTGATTGATGGAAAGCATAACAAAAAAAGAGAAAGAAATTACAGTTGTGTAACCATTTTTTGTGTGCACATTCCTCATAGCCTAAGACTATTACTTTTTCTTTGGGTGCTGAGTTGGAAGCATAACCAAAAGAGAATGTTTGTCTTATACGTGTTTGTTCCTCCAATTTCTTAGCAATTGAATGGACATTAAGTTGATGCAAGGAGAATAGATGGAACTGAAGCTCCTTTCACTTGCTCAACTATATCCCTTTCTTCTACAAGTGATTAGATGGGACCAAAGCTCTTTTCATTTGCTCTAACTATATCCCATTCTTCTACAAGTGATTAACGTCTAAATTTCTGATGCTGACAAAAATATGCTTAGGGGAAAAATGACCGTGCTGCTGTTGTTGATATGACAGATGACGAGAAGAAGTTGAATGCTACTTATATAATTAGTGTTGCAAGAAAGCTTGGATGTTCGATTTTCTTGTTGCCTGAAGACATCATGCAGGTATGATTGCAAATGTAATGAGATTCTTATTTGTGTTATTAAGCATGAATCTCTCTGTATCTAGACAACTAATGTAGCTTTATGAGAATCAATGCTCACTGCATGTCAGAGAATACGCCTTCTGCTTCCATTGCAAGTGCTGCTTTGGAAAGGTGTACAGTTCGCGTCCACAATTATATACTGCTCTGCCAGTAGCCACTGCTGCTGTGGCACCTATTAGGAAAACCGTCAATTGCATCTCAAGTGTCTTTATGACGACTGCAACATCCCCCTCTCTCTTCCCCTCGTAAAGAATGGATAAATAACTAAATATGTGGAAGAAGTTCACTCGGGAGGCTTTTTCTGCAAATTGATCAAATGGTTCAATAGTGGTCACATTACGCCACCAAACCTCCTCTTCATTTACTCCTATTAGTGACAGAGGTGGCGTAACAATTAAGAAGTGGTTTTATTTCATGTTCCTTTTAATGAATGCTCGTAGTTGCTTTCATTGCGGCGTTATGGCAGGTAAACCAAAAGATGATGCTTACTCTTACAGCTGGCATCATGTACTGGAGCCTTCAGCAACAAGTGGAAGAGTCCGAGTCGTCTCTGTCCCCTGCTACTGCAACTACTCCTGATGCATCCCCAGCGCCGTCTATTGATGGTGAAGATGAAAGCTCCCTGAGTCCATTCCCTGCTATTGCTGCTGCAAGTCCCGACGCATCCCCTGCACCATCTGTCAATGGTGAAGATGAGAAGTCCATAGTCGGTGAAAGCTCTCTAGGTGAAGTCTCAAACTTGACACTTGATGATGCAGCTTCTGATACCACAGTCTCCTCAGAGGTTGAAAACAAAGACACCCCACAACATATTGAACCATAGTTTGCAAGTTTTTCTCTACAGGACATTGCCATGAAAACAAGGGAAGAAATAATGAAGGAAAATAACAAGAAGAAGGAAAAATAATTTTGTTTCTCTATAAGGTAGGCAGTATGATAGATACTGCTGCTGCAAATGAAAAACAAAAAGCAGCAGCACTTTGTTTGTGGTCCAAAATGGGGAAGAACTCTGTAAAATATGTTGCTTTTGAGATATATTTTCCTGTCTTACTTTTTTTGTAAACTTTCTTTTTGACCCCTTGTGATTTTCAGTTCTTTTGTATTGAGTTTCTTTGCGGAGAGAGATGTATCTGACAGTAATTTCGTTGATCATGTTAAGTAGTAATAATCATACTAATGATCAAAATTTCGTTTATGTACATAGTTTTGGCGATCTTGAAAACGGAAACGTTTTAGTAATGTTTTAAAAATGAGATGAAAACATAGAAAAATTTATTTTTGAAATATTGGTCAAAATATATTGAAATATAAGTCAAAATTTATTTAAACACAGGTATTTTTATATTCAATCAACGATTCGTTTTAATTTCATGGAAACGTTTCGAAATATAACTTAGTTCATTGAATCAAGGTGTCTGGGCTGCAGTTTGAATTCCTGGTGAACTGGTGTCTGTTTAGAATAACTAATGGAAGTTTATAGTTCAAAGTAAATAGAGACTTGCATGGTGTTGGGTACTTGTTTTTGCTATCCCAGTTATGATTCTGTGAATTTGTGGAGAACTGAGTTGGATCTTATGAAAGATAAGGGGTATGGAATTTTTGTGGTCTAAAGTCTGAATTTAAATTCCACTAATGGGGTTATTGAAAATGAAAATAGAAAAAGGGGAAAAAAAGAATAACGAAAAGGAGTAAGGTATGGATTCGAAAATATTGTCTGATGTAATGTGTGTATGGGATAAAAAAAAAAGACTAATTTTTCCATCATATAAAACCTTACTTTAAATTAGAAATGACAATTTTTAACACAATACGAAAACACGATTTGTAATTGATATGAAATTAGCGGATCAAGATTGATCATTTTTTGACACGAACCAGTACATGACACAATTCGTTAACACGAATAATAAATAGGTTGGGTTAGTGGAAACACGAACAATACAAAATTGACACAATTAACACATTTAACTAGTGTTATAAGAATAATATGTTAATTTTATCAAGTAGTGACTTAATTCTTGTACCAAAAAAGATATTTTTACTTATTTTTATTGTTATATTAATTTAATTTTTAATTTATAAAAAATATATGAGTATAAGTTCAATTAATTGATAATAAAATTTTAAACATAAAACAAAGTTTTAAATTTTTTATTCACGGATTATATGAGTCAACACGAACATGATACGACACGACATGATGAATTAAATATACGAGAATACTCGTTTATATGTCGGTTTTGAACGATTCATATAAGATATAAATTCGATATAACACGACTCATTAAATACAAATTAATAAAATAAATTAAATATTTTTTGAGATGAACTCTCCTCAACCTGCATAATTGACACATGCCTGCCTAAAAGATGTCAGATGTGGACTTGTGGAATCTTTTTCCCTTGGCTGTAATATGAGAATTTCAAACTTTCAGAGTACAAATTAAGAATGCAAATGATCTTTTGGGTAGAAAGTGTAATTCGCTCAATTGAATTACCGCCCTAACCTATCAATTCAAGCGTATAAGTACTTCATGTGACGATAGCTTTCGCTCATCCCACTACGTACCGCCGAATCAAAAAGAGGAAAGACCGTACAAATTATCGTTCACCGGAAAGAGATCACTTAGACGACGATCGGTGACTCCGGTGGTTCTCGGTTAGGTAAACCTTCATTCTTTACTGTCTTTATACGTTTTCGAAGCGCTAAGAATTTATCGATCAGTGGATGACATTTTCATTACTTTTCGTTTTTTTATTTAGTGTTTAGTATTTCCTACTTTTGTTCTTGAACTGTGGTCGTATAATCATGTTAGACACAGCATTCGAATCTGTGAATTGTAATGCATGGGTTCGGGTTTTTAGTACTTATATCTTGTTTGGTTGGTGAGTAAACGGAGGGAAAGGCAAGAGCACGAAGTTTACTGTTACAATCTCTGGGTGGTTGGGTTGTATTGTATCCAACTTGATGTTGTTCTGAATTTCGTTGAAAAACCGTGAAAAAGAAAAAAAGAAATATGTTTAGCGAAATATATGCAAGATGGTTTTCTAATTCTGGGAAAAACAAGGAATGGAAAACGAAGGGAAATCTTGAGTCTCATGTTTGATGTTGTTGGTGACTAAAGCACCGAAACACTTGGGTAAAAAATCATAATTGGTCCCTGAACTTTGCCTTCTATTTTAATTTAGTCCCTGAACTTTCAGTTGTTGTTATTTAATCCTTCAACTACCAATTTCCTCTTAATTAAGTTATTGCATCAATTTCTATCGTTAGTAAACTGGAGGCTAACCCAATCTGATCCATTTTAGTGTTGATCTAATGACTAATAGAAACAAAATAGATATTTGGGGGACTAAATTGAGACAATTAAAGATTTAGGGACCAAATTAAAATGAAAGATAAAGTTTAGGGACCAACTATGATTTTTACCCTTTCATGTAATGGAAAGTGAGTGAAGAAAACTTTTTTTGTTCTTTCTTTTTTTCTTTCACTTTCCTGGGAATAAATGGCCACATAATGTGATTGATGTTATAGGTTTGCCCTGAAATTATGTCCACCCGGTAGCTTTAATACTGGTAATGGGCTTCGCAAAATATATAAACAGGTCACAGCATGGAAGTTCGACCTTTCAAATGCAAAATCAGAGATGTCAGTGCTATCTAAGGAAAATAGTTGGATCAATCTGGAAAAGCTAAGGAAGAGTTTTGAAGATGCTATAAGGACGATCTTGATCACCTTGCACTGCCTACATTTTGTGAAAAAGAATCCAGAATCATCTGGGAAAGCTTTGTGGGATCATCTATCTAAAATCTTCAGGTTTGCATACTCCTATCCCAGCCTTTATATCTTTTATTTTGTTTGCTGTTGGCATCTTTCACACTTCCACGCAATTTGCAGCTCATACGAGGCTAAGCCTTCTCAGTCTGACCTGGTGGATCACACGGATTTAATAAGTGAAGCTGTTCAAAGGGATGAAGCTTTGGCGAAATCCAAGGTTTGTATTCTTTGCCATTGCCATTAGTGTAGAAAGAGCATCTTGTCATTCATTAAGAAAAAAAAAAAAAAATGTATGCAGTAAGGTATGAAATGGTTCTCAATTTTCGTATGGTCAACTGGTTGGTATTGTATGTGTGCATGTATATAAAATCGTATATGTGCGAAGCATGTCTTGAATGATGGAAATGTATATTTTGAATCTGTCACTGTCGTTGAATGATGTCTGACATTGACGTGAAGGTGCTGCGAGCAATCCAGAGTATGACTATATATATGAAAAGATTCAAAGAAATTTAATCATTTTAGATGTTTGCTCAAGTGTAGTTGGGACAAGACTTGATTGGATTGAGGAGATTTTTGTTTAGGTTCGCTGTTGTGAAATTGTAATTTGTTGTACAGTTTTTAGGCACAATTCTGGAGGAGAAGCCTAGAAAGAGGAAATCTTTTGACGAGGTTACGTTCCCACCCTTTTTCCATTCCTCCCAAAAGCACTTACCTCATGTCTCTTCATTGATTAAACATTTTCGTTAGAGCATTTGTGCTTGCTTTTTTGGCAGGCTGTGGGACCCGTAGTTAAGTCTGGGTTTACAGTTGATAATGATATGATTGATGAAATTGAAGAAGATGGGTCCTATGATGAGGAAGGTTTGTTTGATTATGTCTGCACGTTTTGTGATAATGGTGGTGAACTTTTGTGGTATGTCTCCTTTCTAAATTATTAATCACTTGCACATCTAGTGTGTTTAGTAGGTACACTACTCTCCATGTCAATCATTTATACTGTTTTTGCTACTGCTTTCTCCCTCCCTGTAGCAGTTTGTCTAACCACCTTCACTATTTTGATATTTCTTTTTGTAAATGTCAATGTTCTTATGATGTAGGAGATGTAGAAATGAAAGAAGAATGCCGTGCTAGCTATGAAATACTCTCTTGAGGAAAGCTATAGAGCAATTGCTCATGAAAAAAACTGGAATGTTGGGACTGGATTGTTTACTTTGCTGGTTTCTCTGTGGACATCTTTTGACAAAGGTTTCGAGGATTGGAAGAGTGCATAATAAATATTTGAACAGACTAATAGTGTGATTAGTATTCAATTGACTGGACTTAGATTCTTGGCCTATTGTGCTCTGATGTCCTTCAAAATTATAAGATTAAGTTGCATGATATGTGTGTTGCTATGAAGCACAAATATTTCCATCGGGGTGACGTATCCATATTCGATATGTATCGGAAATCGATACTCGTTGGATACTTGCGGATTCCACAAGTATCTAATAATTAATAAAATATTTATCATTGTTGGATACTTGTCAGATATATCTCGGATATGCTTATCTCTACGTTGGATACATTTGCCTTAGACATAGTGAGGTGGATTGTGTAGAAACCATAAATCATAAAAATGGGAATTCTTTATTTCAAGATGTTTATTTGGACGTACATCACATGTGTCACAAGTTTTATGAAGTCTTTACAATTTGTTTACCCCGAAAAATGAGTTTTTATGGCTCTTTGACATTGAAGTCTGTTGCAATTAAAAACTAAGCAAGATTTGAGGACTCTCGGAAGGGAAAACATGTTTAAATTTAGAATTATATAAAACATTGGATTCAAAACACAATTAAGCAGTCCTTATGTCAGCAACATAAATTGTTTTACTTTGGGATGTATATAATCTCTTAATCCCTCATACCCCTATTATTAGAGTAACATTCTATAATATACATATACATATTCTAGCCATATTTGTATCCTATTTTTTAAGATTTTTTTGTATCGCTGTATCCATAACATGCATGCTGGGTATTAAGCTGGTTAATCTTTCTTTGCAGAGGCACCACTTTCTATTAAGTCATTTTCCCCATTTCAGATAATATAATTAATCTTATCAACCAAAATTCTATGGAATAGACTTAGTGGACTTGGTTCAATCTGGTACATGTGTTTGGTATTTGATTTTCACATTCAGTTTCTTTTGACTTGTTTAGAAGGTCTATCGTTGTTGGTGGTTGTTTCTTGGGTGATCGTCACATTTTGAGTATCATTTTTCTCCTTGGGAAAAATTATGTAACAATTGTGATCTTATACAGCTGCGAAGGGAGGTGCTTGAGATCGTTTCATGCAACTAAAGAAGCTGGATCTGATTCAATGTGCCAATCTCTTGGTTTTTCTGATGAGCAAGTAGAAGTATGTTGCCTATTCATGTCAACTTTTTTAAATGTTGTAGGCATGCATTTCTTGATTTGGTTTTCTCTATGCCTGTAAATATTAGCCATTATTGAGGCATAGACGTATATCTTGCAGGCAATTCAGAATTTTTTTTGTGAGAATTGTCAATATAAACAACATCAGTGCTTTTCTTGCGGGGGTTTGGGGTCATCTGATAAATCATCTGGTGCTAAGGTATGAGTTCTTTTGAAAAACTCAAAAAATTGCTGCTTTATTTATGCCAAAGGCTCTTAACAAAGGAAATGCCACTTCATAATATCAAAAAGGAATGCAGTGCATTAGTGCCATAGCAAGAATTGAAAGTATTTCTAGCATGTTGTGGCATAGGTCAAGGAAGCAAGACTTGTAGGGTCTGCTGGGCTAACCATAACAGTCATTGTGGAGCATATAATTCATAATAAGTCATTGAGGTATGTATTTGTCTTGTATCCCGGGAGCTACATTCATCTGAAGTCATGAGGATTTCTGTTCCTCTCTCTTTTACTTTTACTAGGCATTGTTTTTTATTTTTTTGGATCAGCTAGTTTGGGTTTTTTTATTGGTAAAGTAGTAAGCTTTTTAGTACATCATTTGTTTTGGTTTCTTCTTCCTGTATACATTCTGGGTCGAATTTTTTTTTTTGAGGTTGGCCTTGCTGTTTCATTCTTATGTTCGATTGTACCTATAATTCACCAAGACCGTTGCCCCCTTCCTTTCCCTCTTTGACAGATGTGAACTCTAACGTGATAGCCTGCTATTCTTATTTTCAGAACCTTAAAGTTTAAACTGATTCCCTCAAATTTGGCTCTCTTTTTTTGCCCTCGACACTTTAATAAGTTGAGCATTCTGGTGAGAGACCACCGTTTTCATTGTCCTTGGCATAGATGCTTGTTAGAATTGACTTTTTATTTATATATTATCTAATAAGCAGCTATGGGGATGCATTGTAATCTTATTTTGACAATTAACCAAGCTTAGATTATTGGCATGTGAATGTCACATCTCCACACATATTTAAGAACAGTATTGCTGGTGTTCTTTGTAATGTGTATGTATAAAGACTTCTTTTCCCTAATGTTTTCCAGGTTTTTCCTTGTGTTTCCGCAACCTGTGGCCATTTCTACCATCCACTTTGTGTAGCAAAACTGCTCCATCATGAGAATGAAACTGAGGCTGAAGCGCTTCAAATAAAAATTGCATCTGGGGAACTGTTCACGTGTCCTGTCCATAAATGCTCTGTATGTAAACAGGGAGAAAATAAGATGGATCCTGAATTACAGTTTGCCATTTGTAGATGTTGTCCATAGGCATATCACAGGAAGTGTTTACCTAGGTATTCCTTTATTTTTTTGCATGTTCTTTCTCAATATCATCATTGATTTTCAATGGCTGGTCTACATATAGTTGATGCTTTGGTTACTTTAATCAGATTGATTGCTTTTGAAGATATAGAAGAAGAGGGCACCACGCAAAGGGCATGGGAAGGTCTTATCCCAAATCGTATATTGATATATTGCTTGTAAGTGCTCTTGCATTCGTCATTTTTCTTGTTAATGTTGTCTGCATCCATTAATTGCTTACCAAAACCCAAAAAAAAAAAAATGTGCTTAGTTTTTCCCTTCTTTTCAGAAAACATGAGATTGATGATGAACTTGTGACTCCTATGAGAAACCACATAAAATTCCCATGGAATGCCCAAAGAGAGAAAAACCAAGCATCAGAATTGCAGTCCAGCAGAGAGAAAGTTGCACCAAAGCGGAGAAGTCTGGTCTTAGAGGAAGATTTTAGGAAGAGAACTGTTGTAAAAACACAAAAGGGTTTTGAAAAGTTATCTTCAGCTATAAAGCAGGGTGATTCTTTAAAAGAGAGTAAGGGAATATTGTATGGATCCAATTCCTTGTGGAGGCATAAGGTAATGGATACTTCCAGAAAGACTTTGAACAAGACTTCCTTGGTGAAAGTCAACAAGTCCAACACCGCTGAAAGCAGGACCTCTTTAGGGAAAAGGTTATATGACCTGAATAGTAAGGATTTCGAGGCAGGCAAATCAAGGAAGGATGGCATAACAGATAGTGTACTTGAACAAACTCAGACCGTTAATCTTCTTGCAAAGGAAGCGAGCAGATCGCCACCTTTAGATGCTGATGCAAAGAGGAGGTGGCACATTGATTTTTACTACTACAGTGCTACATCCTTTTTGTTCTCTCTCTCTCTAATGTGCTCACACATTAATTTAGAACTGGATCAGATTTGCAATGTTGCTATCTTCTAGTTGTAGAGCGGGAATTGAAACTATGATTGTACATAATTAAAATCTTGTGTTCTTACTTTTGTTTCTTGCAATGCATAATACTGGCTTTGATGAAAGATGCTGCATCTTCAATAACACTGGAGGAGGTCATAGAAAAGCACAAAGTGCCAACAACACATGCATCATCAAAAACTGGTATAGACAAGACAATAAACTTGGGGAAGGTGGAGGGTTCTATTGAGGTATGTTGAATATCTCATTTACCTTATTTTTATAAATTTCTACAGAACCATCTTGTTGTGGGTATTTACATTGTATCGGTTATATTTATGCAGGCTCTTCGTGCCGCTTTACATAAGCTTGAAGAAGGGTGCAGTATTGAAGATGCAAAACCTGCTTGTGAGCCGGGGCTTCTTTACCAGATAATGAGGTGGAAGCTAATTGTCAATTCATCACCGTTAATTGGTCATTCTATTCAAAGCCTTTTTATATTAGTTCTTCTTTCATTGAAATTAGATGATGAGTTATGCCATTGGTGGTGGTTGTTTTTGGTGTTGTTGGTTGGTTAAAATTTGCATTAGGATTCTGTTTCTTTTTGGACTTGATTCATCTTGGCATTGAAGACTAATCCATTTCTACCGTGGTTTGAATGTACATCTATCTGATCACAGGTGGCATATGTTGTTCACAACTCTTCTAATCTTGGTAACATTTTTTGAATAGAAGTTATCATTATGATTTTGTCTAGTGGAAAGCTACAGTATTGTACTAAAGAAGCTATTTTATCTATTTTTAAATGGAAGGAGGGGGAAGCCGATTGGCAGGCTCAATATAAATGGGGGTCCTAGGTGGAAGTTTAGATAAGACCTTTTCACAAATTTATCAATGGTTTTTAAGATTGAATTAATTCATTAAATTTTCCTTTTTTTTTAATGCTTTTCACATCTGGATTCATAATTTTTGGTTCAAATGTTTTGAGATTAAGAAAACTTACAAAACAAAATAAATTCTTTAAACAATAAAAGACAATACTAAGATAAAAATCTAATAGATTATAGAGTTTAAAAACCAAAACACCTGATTGATAAGATTTAACCAATATATGATCTTTTTTTCTCCCTCAAATCAACTAAGAGAACTAACTTTCATAATAACATATGTTGTCACTTAAATTACATCACATCATTGAAGATATAAGATATATAAATTATGAATGAACAAACTAAATTTTATTGAATGATTCAATCTATACATAATATATAGCAATGTAGTTAGCTTGGATGAACTCCAAAACCCCATTTCAATTTTCTTGAATTCTCTCCCATCTCTTCCTTTCCCGTCTCTCACTCACATACCTACTGTCTCTGCACTAAATCTATATTTACTATATACTATAGCAATCAATTTAGGAGAGAGGATGCTTATGAAACTTTTCCTCATCAAGTACTAGATTTTTTAATTTTAAAATAAAATATTTAATAACAATGTATTGATCTCATCAAATTAAATCATTCCACATATGGCTTATGACTCCAACAAAACTAATGTATTTCATCCTCCTTAATTTAGTACAGTAATAAGTAATTTTTCAAAAATACTAAGGTCGAGGTGGGGTGAGGTGATGGTAAGGGTGGTAGAATTGTAATGGGAGAGATTGAAAACACCATGCATCGCTCGGGCTCCCACTAGTATTAACTGTATGAGAATGGGTATTGGGCTTATGGCTTGAGAAAAACAGTATAAGGTGCCTGAAAAGATGTGGCAGCCACTTGGTGTGTAGTTTTTTTTAAAGTACTTTGGTTTCTTATTTGTGTAAGGGCCTACACTAAGTTAAATGTTGGCAGCTTAATAAGGTGCATTAATGTCTAGCCATCTAGGTTATTTTTTTAAAAAATGTAATGTCCTGTAATTATGCAATGGTGACAGCTTTATAAGGGGGCTTTAATTCAGAAAGAGAGAGAGAATATAATTTTTTTTCTTTATTTAGCCTTGACAGCTTTAAATGAGAAAATAATGAAGAGAGGGGAAACGATTGTTTGACCTTTTATAGGTTTGATTTTTTTTTGGGGGGCCAAGCCGGATAGAAGCAATTTGAGACTAATTATCTGGGCTTTATTTAAAATTTTTGTTGTGCTTCTATTTTGTCATTGGGGCCCTATGATCCAATTGAATATGTGAATGATTTTACTATAGGCAGAAAGCCAACACATTAATTCTCCTACTTTCAACCATAAGCTTTTGACCACTTAGGAAATTAAATGATTAGTCAATAAGGATAATATTGCTTGATCTTATGTTGGTTCTTTTCATGATATTTCTGGATTTGGGGCTTGCCATGCTGTAATGTTGAGCCTGCCCTATTGCAACCTCAGCATCATGGGCTCAAATCATGAAAGCATCCTGTCCGCATGCGGGAAAAGGTTGAGTACATTTGACCATCATCCCGGGTTTGCAGGAGCCTCATATAGTGGGCTCCCCTTTTTTCTTTTTTCTTGATTAGTTGAGGATTGGACAAAATAACCCGGAGAACAGCCCTTTTGAAAAGCATTTTAGTGTTGGTTTTCTTTCAGAGTAAGGTGGACCTTTCTTCGAGCAATCCTGGAGAATTCTGTTGTTCCATCACGGAAGGAGCAAAATTCATCTGTTTGGCAGTTCGATGATCTCTTTCTATGATATCAATTGGATGTGTATCTCCAAGCAAAAAATAAAAAATAAAAAAATTGGATGTGTATCTAAGTATTACTATGGTGTTGTTGCTCTGGGGCACTTGTTTATGCCTTTTTGTGTTACTGAAATGGGGATCCAGAATAGATTCTCCATTAATGGTGATATTTGATAGAATGGAATTGAAACTGATGATTAAAAGTATATTATGATTGGTGAACTCAACTAAACGTAGATATTTAATTTTGGTGGTCCTACTGATTACATGAACTGATGAACATCTGGCATAGTTATGGTTGATCCTGTATCTTGGATTTAAGAACTTGTCTTTTTCATCTTTTGGTGTTACTGCACCAAAATGTAAAAAATTCTTACAATTCCAGTCATTATCCATATTGCATTCATTTTATTGACCTTTATGTGTCAGTTGATGAAAATGTTCTTTAAATCTAGTTTGATTTGTTGTGGTGGATGTAGAACAAGCTAAAAGTGTATCTGGCCCCGTTTCTACATGGCATGCGCTACACGTCCTTTGGTCGCCATTTTACAAAAGTGGACAAGCTACAAGAGGTGAGTTAATTGTTTACAGTGACCGATGATAAGAGAAACATTTACTTTTGATGGTTATGATCATTCTTAACTTATCTTTGTTCTCTTTCATGGGCTACTCAAGAACTGCTATCAGTTTCTGAATTATTTGTTACTTTGTAGATTATTCACGTGAGTGTGGCTTAGAATTTTAGAGACTAGTTTGCATTGGATGCTCTGTATTCATTGTCTAGATTATGACTAAGGGAGATTACAATAATGATTATGATCAGCGAGAGAAGGAGGTTTTAGAAATTGATCAAAGTCTTTTACTTATTTTATGCTAAAAATAGGTGATGTAGATTCATTCTAAGTGATTTGTGGTTGAAATCTCTCATATATTATAAATTATTATTAATTAGGATCAAATTATAATCAGATCGAATATTGGTATACCCATGTTTGATTTGTGAATATAAAGAAAGTATTTTAACTGGGATTGGGGACACAGTAAAGAATATAGGTCCATATCTGACTATTAGGATCGTCTTAAAATCTAATCCATTGACAGGTATGCACCTTGCATTGGGGAGCGGCAGGAGCCAACACTGATTAATTATCATTTAATGCTCTCTCCATCAGTATACTTGGATTTTTTTTTTCTGTTCTTTATAAATGTTAAGAATTGAAAATTATAAAACAGTTACATCGAGTTCTAGTGAATACTGAAAGCATAATTTCATCTTGCAGATTGTTGATAAGCTCCATTGGTACGTTCGAAATGGGTATATGGTAATAATCTGTGCATTTATTTGTTTCCTTCTAATTTTCCCGACATATTTCTGGATGCATGTTTCAGCTTATTTCTTGTGGATACATCTTAATAAAACCATGTGCATGCTTATGTGTAGGGAATGTTCTCTTTGTTTGAGCTAGTCCTGGTTCATTGCAACATATACATTTCTATTTAGATCCTTGCCATTGACATTGCAAACTTCTAGGTTTTGCTTTTGTACTTTGAAGCTGTTGTTTCTTTTTCTTGTGAGAATGCCTTCAGCATGCCAATTGTTTAACTTGTAGGGTTTTGCTTTAACAATCAGAAGATACTTTATTTCAACTTTGTTCAACTTCAAGATGGATTTTGACATTGAGCCAAAAGGATGCAAATAAGATGATATAAAATCGTGAATGCAAGCACTACATATGTAAGGGTAAATTACAATGACACTCACTGGCATTTCAACATTTCGAAATTATTCAGGAAAACAGAAAAATTATCCCTTATTCTTTTTTGGAATAAAATCATGGTAAATCCAAGCTAATCCTCATTGGAACAAGATAGTCCCATACCCAGACACCCCATTCTTCTGTCTTTCTTGTCTCTCCTCTCTCACACAATCACACTTGCACCCAGAAATGTGGGGAGGTGGGGAGGCTTTCTTTCTCTTTTTCATTTTCTTTTTATTTTATGTTTGACCAATGGATCAGTTGACCAATTGAACAATAATGTTCGATTTTGACCAGTATATTTATGGTAAAGCAATCTGAGCTATTAATGCCGACCACTTTAATCCTCCTTTTGGGGTCTCATTGTTATTGACAAAATGTCATGGGGTGGCATTGTAAATTTGTAATCTACCCTACATACATTGTATGTAATCTTTTTGGTGTAGGAAGGGGAATGTGAGCTGTAAGTAGCAAATGGGAAGGTGGTGCTTCTCTAATTTAATACACTAGAACTTTTGTGAATTTGAACCTTGATGGGCACACTTGAACAATAAGGAAACCAGGGACATTTTCTTATTAATAAATACCTAGTGTTTATGCCACTCTAATGCAGTTGAACCACGATGTTATGAGTGTTGTCACTTCAAAAATTATTACGATAGACTTGGTTTGTTGGATTAGAGTCAGAGGTGGTGCTGCAGCGTACCACCTTTCACTGTTTCTCCTTTACATGGAGAGTGGTGGAACCTTGTCTTTCTGATTTTCCTATGTTTGATTTGGGTAATTCTCATATATCAATGCTTCATGATGTACTTGTATTACTTAATCTGAGTAAGATAGCTATTGTTCCTTTGAACAGATTGTTGATTTTTGTTGCGGTTCGAACGACTTCAGTTGCATTATGAAAGAGAAGCTTGATGAGATGGGGAAGCATTGCTCATACAAAAATTATGATATTTTACAAGCAAAGGTGAACACCACTGCCCTTGGGTATACTATATATCATACAGATGTTGTTTAGTGCATAGAAGTATAAATCATTCCAAAAATCTACTTCTGTACATATACAATGTTCTCAAGCGCAGGTTGTTGAGAAGTTATTAAATTGGTCATTTTAATTTTTAACATTTCTTTTGGCAATTGTTGAGTCTTTTAACAGATCACAAAACCAGTCTGCATTCTTTTTTCTAGGTCTACGGTCTACTTTGTCCTTTTACTGCCTTTTGAAATTTTATTCTTTTTGTTATAATTGCAATTCTTATGAATTTTATTTTGTCTCTGGTTTTAGTGACACGGTGATCAGACGCTATTGATGAGAGTTTGTGCTTAAACTTTGTTAAGATTTTTTGAAAGAGAAAAAAGAGTTTTGGAGGGACGTCATTTGGGCTGGAAAGGTCCTATAAGTACTCATAGCTGTTATCCTTTATATTCTCATTTCTGTTAGGGTCGTGACACTTGTTCAAAACTCCAAATACTCTGACAGTGTACATGAGATGGTTTTTCTGTGACATTTTTATAGAATTCACCAAAACGTAGCCATTGCCTGGGTGGGGGTAAATGCCCTTGAATGGAGGCATTATTTGTGATATCAAATCCTTGTTAGATTTTGTAAAATGGCCTTTCTCAAGTTGATTGATTATGAGTTTGCATCGTTGGTTGATCTGATTTTATCCCCATATGGCTACTTTTGGATCCCTTTTGCAGCATGATTTCAACTTTGAGAAGAGGGACTGGATGAGCGTCCATCCAAAGGAGTTGCCGACAGGGTCACAACTGGTGAGAGACTGTTTATATTTCATTTAGTACAGAGGATATTTGTACTCCCGGATTTATTCACAATTCCTTACCATGGCTTTCTGTTTCTTGAGTAGATCATGGGGTTGAACCCTCCTTTTGGAGTAAATGCCCGCCTTGCAAACAAGTTGATTAACAAAGCGCTTGAGTTTAAGCCAAAGCTTCTTGTCCTTACAGTTCCCCGCGAGACAGAAAGGTAGTTGCTTCTGTAGTCTCCCCCCGCCCCCTCATCTTCTTCGTTGCTCTCTTATCTCACTGAAACACATGCATTGGTTTGTGTTCAGCCAGATTAGATAAGAAGGAACCTCCATAGGATTTGGTGTGGGAAGATGATGAGCTGCTTGTCGGAAAGGTAAAATAGAAGTGTTCTGTGTGGATCCCTTATGGCTATTACAATACATAGAGATATATATGAGCGCACATT